CTTCCCATAAAGGGAATGAAACTGTGGGAGAACAGAAGAAAAAAAAGACAAAAAGGCTTTGGACTACAGATATACCCCATCCGCTGCTTTTCCGGATTACCCGTTCCCCCTTGGTCAATGCCTGCACCAATGGCAAACAAGCTATTGAAAAACCACAAGTGCATTTCCCTTCCCTATTCTCAACAGAAGAGCGACAACTCCGAATGACACCTTCAGGGTTGGACTCCCAGGGGTGCTGCCCTTGATTTAGCGCTAGCCTAAGGAAGACACAAAGAGAACCTACAAGCATTGAACCACCATTTTCTAAACAACAGACTATTTTCCAGACCCCATGAACTAGAACCTGCATTTACTCTCCAGGATTAGGTAAATAAATAGTGCTTGTAAGTAAACACGTAGGGCGTACAGTCAGGATGTGCAGGGGAGGAAGAGCTGAAGACCATGCACAGCCTGAACAGAGGGAAGCAATAACAGCAGGAAACAGATATGGTATTAAAAAAAACCCAGAACAGCGTTTTGCTTGCAAAGAAGAGAACGCTAGCTCTTGCATCACAAGAAGAGGTGGAACAAATACAGGGAGGAAAACCTATGCAGACAAAAATGAATGAAGATGATAGGCAAGGACCCCATATCAAGGGAAGGAACTTAAATAGGTATAATACCATCATTGCCATGAGATCTAAACACACAAAGGGAGGGAAAAACAGTTCCCCATCTATCAAATGGGGCTAAAAAGCACAGAGACCTAAGTCACAGAGCACACCACGGAGAACTGGAAGTCACACTCAGCTCTTGTGAGTAGCAGGCTACTACTTTAACCACCAGAGCATCCCTCCAGCTCTTGCAAGTATTTAACCGATGGGTGAACTGACAGCACATACACAGAACAGGGTGGGGGGCGGCAGGCGCTGAAATTCGTGGTGTGACAACTCCCTTCCCTGCACGTGCAAACAATGCGAACTTCATCCACGAAGTTTCATCGGCCATCGTAAGAACCGAACTGAATCAGAACTGGTGTAAGACGTTGAGAGACGTGCCTCTCAACACAAAACATGTACACTTGCAGTTTAGGAATCCTCACCTCAAGGTTTTAGAAAGATAATCTGCATAAGGAACAATTTACAAGACCTAATGAAAATTATCCTTTCTCCTTTGATCTTTACCTTTGTAATAAAAAACCCAAACCCCAACATACCCACAGGAAAACAAAAGCATAACTTTGACAAAGTGAACATGTAATTGTTTTCAGTGCCTATGAAAAGTTATGCTACTACGGCTCAGTGAAGCTGCTGGGATAGATGAGCCTTTCCAAGTTACCACCGGAGGCTAGCCACATTTACGGGGGGGGGCGGAATTTATTTATTTATTTGAAACCGTTAACTCCTCATTTTAAACCGCAGACGTGGCAGGAGGCAGAAAAGAAGTCTTCTCCCATTATCATCCTCCGCAGCAGGCAGAAGGGGCCTAACAAAGGCGGCCGCACCGATCCCGGGCCGGCTCCAGCGAAGGGCACCCTCTCCCCGCCGCGGGAGGCCTTCGCCGGGCTCTCGTCTCCGAGCTCCCCCTCCCCACGGGAGCAACTTCTGCAGGAAACGACGCGCTTCAGCGGCAAACGCCGACCCGCGAGACGCCGACCCCGCCGAGGGCCTCAGCCCGCCACTTCCCGACAGGACCCGGAGCGCCCCCCC